GATAATAAAAATAAATATATATTTAAATTCATTCATATGCTATATAATAATCTTCAAAATCTTCTTAAAGATTTTTTAATATGTTCGTATATATTGATATATTATGAGTAATATTTAAAAACTAATTAAAAACTAAATTTATAATATAAGATATAAATATAATTAATTCTGCAATAATATCTGAAATTTTTAATTATATAATAATAATAAATTTTATATAATTTTATATAAAAAATTATTATATAATTTTATATAATAAATTTTTAATTATAATAATTCTTTTATTATTTTGCAAAATTGTTTTCTTTTAAACATCTTAGATTATTTAGATATTTTTTAACATTCTGTATAATGTAATAATAGATATTTACATAATATATTTTTTGCCTATCTAAACGTAAGGAAGATCATCAAATCTGACAGATCTCATTTCATATACTAAAGAAATAATATATCATTGCAAAATTAATAATGAAAAATATAATGAAAAATGATCTTATTAAAAAAATATATATAACGAAAAAATAAAAAAATTGAAACATCATAATTTTAGGACAAGAATTTATTTTGTTTTTTGTATACTTTTGATTATTCGATTATCATTTTGATTATTTCGTTCCACCTTAATATTCCATCTTTCATCTTGTCACCCTTTTCTCGCCACGTTCTTGGTTTGGGTCCCTACATTTCGGGGAAATTTTCAGCCAACACGAGAAAAACCCTTTTGTCAATGAAGACCTGCATGCACGACCAAGTAAACAGCTGCGAATGTCATTTCAATAACAACTAGGCAGTCAGATAGGATTTCGGCCCTGACTGCCTCTCTTTCGAGCATTCGCTTTTCTTTGATCGAGTCCTCGAAACCGCTCGAAAGAATAAATTTTCCACCAGCCTTCCACTCTTTCGTATTCCACGTTTTCCCTTTTTTCGCTCCAGTCCCGTTTGTCCTTAAACTTGGTGCCCCATACAGCTGTTTCGCGAATCTGCATCGGCGTCTCTTTAAGCCTTGTCACGGCTTCAGGTTTTTGTGTAGAGGTTAATCCGAACATTTTATCGTGGCACACGTGGTTAGTCTGAAAGTATTGTATTTTTAGGAGTTTGCTTTGTACTTTACTTCGTGAATCGTCTATTTTCCTGATGTTTGTATACCATTTGCACGGTGATTAATGGAAGGTGAATTTAAACTTTGGTTGTTTGATCGTGAAGTAATAAAGATTTAAAAGTGAAGATTTTGCGTGTATTTTAATTCGATTGATAAAAAATGTTCTATGTGATTAGATGTGGCTTTAAAATAGTAAAAAATTTTTACCCAAAATTAAATACTTCGAATGTTGCATGATTCAAAAACAGCATTTTAGAAAACTTAAAATCATTTTTATTTTTTTAATGCTTTTTGAATTATAAATAGTATAAATCATATTTTAAATTAATAGAATTATATTATTGAATTATTTATTTTTTACATTATGTTTTATATATATTTACATATTTTTATATTTTAAAATATTATCGAAAAAAAAATTATATATCAATTAATCATATAAGAATAATTTAATAAGAATAAAAACAAACAAAAAAAATATATTTATATAAAAATATAAAATGATGAAAAATTAGAAAAATTAAAACTTCGAAGAAATTTGCACCTTAATTTCATCTTAATTAAAAATATTTCATTTTAAATTTTTTATTTAAATTTTATTTAAATTTTGTTTAAATAAATAATAATATAACATATAAATTTATAGTAATATTTGTAATACAATATATAAAATTGTTTAAAAATATATCTTAAAAAATCTATTGAGAAAATACACAGATTTATATAAATTTTAGAAAAAAGAATTACTTAATGGATTAATCCGTAAAAATAGAAATAAGTTTTTTTTTACTTTTACAAAATAGTTATACAATTTTGATCTTTTTTTCATCTTATGCTCATTTAATTTTCATTATTAAGATCAATAAATGAATTAAAAATAATAAAATAAATTAAAAATAAAATATCAACGAAACTATCAATAAATACGGAAAAATAAAATTAAAAATTGAAACTTGATTTTTAAATTCATAAATCTCAAATTTGAAATATCTTTCTTCTTCTAAAAACTATTTATTTTTTATTGTGAACAATTAAAATCTTAACAAACTTTTATTTTTGAAATTTTTCAAACTTAAATTCAAAATCAACTAATATTCAATACTCAATCAAAAATATTTATCTTTTTTGTTTATAAAAATTTTTATTTTTATGTTTTTTTTATATAAGTTATCATAATGGATTAATAAAATCATATCAATTAAAATAAGAATAAGCTCTGAACACAAATTCAATTAAATTATTAATCCTTTAACTATATTTATATCGTTATATCATCATATAAAATTCTCATTATTCATATAAATTATTCATTATTTTGAGAATTGTGAATTACAAAAATGAAAAAATTTCGAAATTTAAAAAACTTGAAACTTTTCAAGGTTTCAAAGTTTCAAGTAGGTATCCCATCCCTACTAAAAATATATATTGCCGATTCAATACGGGTTATAGCATTTTTACACGTGGAATTCACGTCTGTATTAAGGGCACATATTGCGTTGTATTCTGGCTATATACAATTGAAGAGCGTGCACCCTCGGTGTATCGGGAAACTAACGAAAAACGATGAAATTCCATGAAAGAGAACATTGTGGGTGGTTTCGTAGGAGTCTCATATGTACTCGAGAGAGGATCGAGGGTGAGGGCATAGATAAAAAGGAGAAAGAGAGGAGAATCCCATCTGTCGGCACTTTTGCACCGACATTGTACTCTTGTTTATATCGAAAGAGGAAGAAAGAAGAGGTCGTTTTATTGCCATATTGGCATATTGCCGCAAACCAGCCGTCATGCTTTTTTGCTCCCATTGCTTACGAAATCGATTCTATCGAACTTTTCCATGCACTCAACGCATCCATCGTCCATCTTCTTTTCTGCTTCATTTATACGACTATATGATTTCTATTTTTGTAATAATAGAAAGATAGTCATTTATCATTCTAATTGAGAACGAATATTCGAAAATAATGATTTTAAAATGTTATATTTATAATAAATGTTTTTATACTATGAAATAATCTTATATATGTATTTAATTTTATCTAATATTGTCAAAACTGTTTGATTTTATAATAGTAACAAAAAAATTATTAACAAAAATTCAAAAGTGAAGATGTTATAATTATCTATCTATGGATCAATTATAATATAATTTTAATTTTAAAAAATTAAAATATTTATTGAATTAAATCATATACAATGAGAATAAAATGAAATATTTCTATTCGCTGATAAGTAAATTAAAAATAATAAATTATTTTTTGGTATATTTTTCATACATCCAATTCTTATATTCTCATATTTTTTTTGGTAAAAAGCAAATAAGTCAATAAATAATTTTTATTTAAAGTTTTTCATATAATTTTATTTTCAACCATTGCAATCATTTTCAATCATGTTTTTTATTTAATGTAGATTATAAATTTTTATTAACGATGCACAAAATTAATAAATAAAAATCATTATTAGATTTTACATAAATAAAAATTTTAAAAACATAATAAATATTAGATATATTTACATTAAATAGCTTCTTTTATATAGAATATTTACACAATTTTAAAAGATTAACAAAAAATCATTTTCGAAAAGTGATTTTTGTTTTCATTCGAGTTTTTTTTATATATTGTTAAAATGTATCTATGTACATTTTGATTATAATTTTTTATTATATAAATATTCAAAATTTGTTATTATGATATTTTTTGAATTATTTAATGTTATTTTCTATGCTATTTTTTCCTATAAAAAATAATTATCTGATTTTAATTCTGATTAATAATAATATTGCAATAAAATTAATTTTAATTTTCTAGATGTTTTGTTTGACAATTAATGATAAAAAATTTATTTTTATATTTTTATCTATTTATTTTATAGTATTGAATATTGATTAATATTTATGTGAAGTTTATTCATGTTAATATTCATGTTATTTTTGAGTCAGTAAATAATAATATTAAATTAAATATTTTTTTTTTAAATTAATTATTCAATTTTTATTCAATTTTGTTTAATTTTCTAGATTTATTTTGTGAATTTTGATCATTACAATAGTAAATTCTTAACTACTTATTTAAAATTATTATTTAATTAAAGTTTTTGATATTTTCTTCTAAATTTAAATTTGTCATTTTATTATAATTTTTATATTGATATAATTTCATTAAATGAATAAAATTTTCTATTTGTTAACAATATTCTATAACTTCTTTTTTCTAAATTTCGTAATTTATTTTACTGCTCGTTAAAAAGTTTCTATTTTTAAATAACTTGTTCCGAAATGTCGTCGCAAATGATTTAAAACTCGTGATGATTATTACGTATTATTACGTATTTAATAGAAATACATTTCATCTTGTTAAATATTATTTTAGAGAACAACGAATAAATTATTAGTTTTACTTTTCTGCTTTTTAATTTTAAGATTTTTAAAATATCGGGATTCGTGAATTGCATACTTATTATTTTTATTAATTATTTATTTCTTTAAATATTCTTTTATTTAGTTGAAAAATGATTGAAAAAATAAAACATAATAATGAAGATTATTGAAAAATACAAATCATTTGCAAATTAAATTTTTGACTAATATTCATTAATATTTATTATTATATATATTATTTATTATATTCTATCTATTAGAAATAACCAATCAACAAAACTTTTTTTCTTAAGCTACACACGATATATCCAATATATTCTGTTTCAAATTGATTCTCCTAACAAAATACTATTCCTACAAATCAAGAAATATATTTCATAATTCATCAACAATTCGACAATATGATTATAAATATATTAAAATTATGATCATATTTTTTATGTTGTCCACTCTTCATCTCTTAACTTCCCTTCCCTATAAGTATTTATCATCTTCTCGCTTCTTAATTTCTCACGGTAGAAGGTGAATCTCACGCAGGTGAACAGGAGAACAACAAGCATCCGAGTAGCATACGAATTCTTGATCGTCATCTTGACGAAAAATTGCAAGAAAAAGCATCTGAAGGTGGCTAGTACGCGTAACCCTTTGCAGTCCAGGTGGTTTCGCTGCTGTTGGTAACGAGATATCGGGGTAGATTCAAGGAAGGGAGAATATGGCGAGAAAGAAAGAGGAGGGAAGCTGAGGTGAAAGAAGGCAGAAACGGGCTACATAGTACGGGTATACGCAACCTGCCTGCCCTTTGGCACCCGTGCCAGATGTTTCTCTCATTTCGGCTGCAAGAGGCAAGAATGAATCGGCCCACACTTATATTAGCATTTTCTCTCGGTTTCGGAATTTACGCAAACGTTCTATTGACTAAATTCGCTTTATACACGACTCTTTCTCTCCCTAACGATAAATGAAAGATACTTTGACGATTATCGATTTTCTCGAGAGTAATTCCACAGGAATTTCTTTTTAATTAGTTTACAAGTTGCTTGTTAAGTCACGTGTACTGGCCACTTGAAATGGAAATTGATGTTAATATTTGTTAAATTATTTTAAAAAGGATTTTGATAGAGTTTTTAATTATTGAATTGTTATGTATGAAATGACAGATTTCACAAATTAAGTGACTAACATAAATAGTATTTGTTTACTTATAATATTTTCTGAATTTGAATGAATTTCAAATTTGAATTTAGGTGAATATAATTGGAATAATAATTATCTTATTATAAAATTAATTAATTTGTATTATAATAAAATAGTTTAATCGAATTGCAATACTTTTTACATATAAATTTAAAATTCAATATATAGCTTTCGAAAAAGTTAAAGATTAAAGAAAGAAATAATCCGTCATTAGTATGAATAATTTAGATAAATATAGGTAATAAATTAAAAAGTTATTGGTAAAAATATTATAATTTTGATAATTTTAATTTTGTTTTCCGATGAATAAGATTAATTTGTTGAATTAGACTTTGAATTTTGAATTAATACTATTTTTAATAATGAAAATTAGTGATAAAATCATTAAAAAACTACGAAAAGTTAGTATTTCCAAACATAGATTGATAGTTTTTTCTATAATTAATTCTTTCTCATAAGTAAAAAAATACAAATCCATTTAATAGAAAAAATTTTTGAAATCAGATTTCGAAGATATTTTTTTAAAATGAATATTGCAATAAGAATATAATAAAATTTGTAACGAAAAAATTAACTATATAAATAAAATTGTTTATTTACATTAAGCGTTTAAAATTTATTTATATTTATTATAAATATTTATTTATTTTTATTTATTAAATATAAATATTTATTTATATTTATATTAACGTTTGATATTATTATATTAAGTGCAATAATTATTATATTAAATTAAAATTCTTATTAGTTAAGAATTCGATCATCTCATCTGTAATGACATAGTATTTTTCAATCGTATATAAAATTTTGTTGAATTAATTATAATTTATGATTTCTAAAATACTAATATAAAAATACTAATATTTCTGCAAATATTAATTCTTTTCAAAATTACAATATTTTAATTTAATTTCTTTCGTTCGAGTAACGAAATCTTTGACAAGATCTCTTTCAGGCAAAGGGAGAAATTATAATTAAAAAATAAAATATTCATTTTTTAAAATGTCACATAAAGTGTTATATATAAGTAAACGAAACTATACAAAGCTTTTAAAAATAAAAATCATAGAACAGAATTAAATGATGATATATGTTTTATATTTCATTCATATGCATTCTTATATAATTTTAAAAAATTATTTATAAATTCGTTGTTGTACTTTTCGAATATATCATTAATTGTATGATCAAAAATTAAATTAATAAATTTGAGTAATAAATTAATTCAAATAAAATATTTATTTAAAATTATTTGTTTAAAAATTATTTTCAGGAAAGTAAAATTATTTTTCTTGTATTATTTCTATCAAAAAATTAATTAATGAAAATACTAAAATAAATAAAATAATTGATATTTTTTATATTTGTTTCAAATCCTCAATTATTTCCAAAATATGCTTCTATTTAACACAAATAAAATTTTATTAACAACTTTTTTGTCACATTATAAACATTCATTAGATAAACTGTATAATAAATTTATTTTTCAAACAAAGGAATTTTAACAATTTTTCAATTTTTCGTAAAATATCGATTGTTGAATGATACTATTTTCACAATACATTCTGAAAAACAGTAGATGAATCGCAATTGAATAATTTGTATACAAACCGGTGGCTGGTTAGAGATCCTGTAGTAGACAAGGTGCTTCATGACAAAGAAATCGTGACAAGGATTCAATTCAATGTTTTGAATTCTATTAGAGTTGCCAGATGAGAAGGGTTCTAAAAAGATATTCTCTGTTATATTTAGAAACTAACAATTTTCTGTTTTTTTTTTTTTGGAAGATAATATAACGTATTTAATGAATTGAAATATGCAAAATTGATTATGATTAACAATTACTTGTAATTATTTTCAAACCATTATAGAAAATAATTATTATAATGATTGAGAATATTGTTATAGAATATTGTTTTATAACAATTAATTTTAATTATCTTCAACTCTTCACAAATATTATTATATTTTGGAATATATATTATAATATCTTTATCATATAATTTTAATTTAATTTGATTTGAACAAATTTTCTATAGAATATTTGTTAGAAATATTAAATATTATATTAGAATATATTTATATTATATTATAATATTCAGTTTTCAATAAATATAATTAAATATAAGTAATTTATATATATATATATAATTCATAAAATTATTATATATATATATATATAAATATAAATATAAAATATTTTAAAATTCAAACATTATTTATTGGAAATTATGTACTTATATCTGTCAGAAAAATTCATATCATTTTTGTTAAGGATAAATTGAAATTGAAATGGAATATATTATTTTATGCATTATTATTAAAACATTTTATTTAATTGGTATACTGTATTTATTGCCAAAATTTAAATTTAACATCAGATCATAAGAAATTACATGTTTTCTTTTGATATGATATTATATTCTAATACCAAAATGATTTTATATTAACAAAACATTTTTATATGATACAATATTATATTAATATAATGAAATTTGATATGCAAAATTTATATTTCAATTAATGAAATTCATATTTGTTTTCTTCAATTGTTGATTTATGAAATTTCATTTATAATAGAATTAACATGATATAAATATGATATTATAATATTTTAACGATATTTTATAATTGTTTTTATTATTAAAAAGTTTAATATTTTTAAATATTTTTATTATTAAAAAGTTTAAATATTTATTATGACATCAAATATCGATTATTCTGACAGATTGAAACATTATGGAAGTATATTCAAATAAGCGATTGTTATCTCCATTTTATATTTTAAAATGAACCATTGTTTAAATGTATAAACACATGACATCTTATATATTTAAATAATCGATTTTTTTTATTTTGATTAAATAATCGAAATTCGAATAATCGATATTTTATCACACATACACTATAATATTTTCTTTTAACTAATCAATTAATTATTGATAAAAATCAATAAAATTATTCTTAATCATTATTGTAAATATTAGAATAATAAAAAAAATTTTTTAAATTTGAATTTAAAAAATGAATTTAAATAGCATTACCGGTTAAGGAAACGATTCAAACAAGCTTTAAATGCCGGAAACGTCAGTTCCAAACAACGGTGTCCCAATTTTCAATCATTACATCCCTCTAATCATGGTACCCGTACAACGTTCTTCCATTTCACATAGAGGCAATCGAACTAGTGAACCGTGGACAAAGAAGGTTTTGCACAGCTTTGTCTCGAAGGCAACGATATATTGCGTCACGGAGATTCGAGATTGCGTTCGTTTTACTCGAGTCACCCCGTAGAAACTTGGAATAGTGCGGGGCGGCTCGACCGAATAAAGCACTCGAACAAACAATACGGCTTCCCCCAGATGCTTCCGGTCTCTTATTTCACCGGATAGCCATACGAACACGTGCCCCATTTCCTCCTCTTCTTTTTCCTTCCGTCTAAGCGCTGAGTATTTTCTTTTTTCTTGTTGTTTTTCCGATGTACTCGATAATTCAATACCCAAAATGACTGATAAAGATTTTCATTCGATTTCTATCGTTACGTCTTTGTGACATTTTTATTAAATAATTGACTTTCTGTATCAAAGTATATATATATTCGAATATTCTTTTAATTTGTTTTTTTAATCTTATATAGAATCTTTAGTATTATTTAGTTAGAAGTGAATATTGTTATTTTAATTATTATTAAGAAAACTGTAATGTACTATGCAGGATTGGTATAATAAAAAATATTATATATATATATATGATATAATAAAGAATGATATATATTGGATAATAAAGAAACGATGTTGATAAATATCTTTGAATTTCTTATTTAAAATCTTTTATATTATAAACTTTTCACTTTGTTTTTTTAATAAACTAAAATTCTGAGATTTGGAAAATTATTTTGATTATTATTGAAAAAGCTATTCTACTATTAAATGATAGAATAATATATAATTATGTATTTTTGAGATTGTTTATTTTATTTTTCTTTGTTGCATTTTTTATTGAATTTTGAAGTTTATTTATATAGAAGTGTGATTTTGTGAATATCTAGAATTTTTAAAAGTTTAAAATATTTAACAATTTCAGCTGTATAAAATAAATTTATGAGTACTATAATAACAAAAATTAATAATAACAAAATATTTAATAATACAATACCATTAGATCACTAATAATTAAATTTATTTTTAATATATTTGTTTTTGTATATTTGTTTAATGGAATCTGTTTATTTTTTTATTTACTTTAATATTTATATACTACATATATACTTATTTATTACGGAGATTTTAAATTTAAAAGAAAAAAATAAAAAAATTACTTAAATATTTATAAGTTGATATTTTAATAAGTTGAAATAAATAAAGAATTCTACTTATTCATAATATGAATTCACTATTATTAGTTACTAAATAAATAATAATTTAAAACAATCAGATTTATTAACATCAACATTTATAATATTTTCAAAAATATAAAATTTAACAAAAAAAAAAATTTATAGAACAAGAAATATAAAATTAAGAAAAAGTTATATATCTAACAAAATTTTACAATTTATATCTTATTTATTTTCTATTATTAGTGCTAATAAATTTATTTGCAAAAAATAATTTTACTTATCAAATTTGATCTTTAAATCTCTTTCTTAAATTTCTCGGACCACGATCGCAAACATGAAGATATACGTATACACATATGTTTCTTCTTCGATGCACATGTACTATCTTGCCGCATATTGCAGCTATGTACACTAACGAGACGTTGGACCACCTGGAGGATGTCGTCGCGTGCCATTACGAGTCCCGTTGGTAAACGTTTAACGAAGATATCCTCGAAGCACGTGTCAGGACGTGGTTCTATATAGCAATAAAAGCC